GTGCAATTAGAGGATGACCCCTTAACTTTGGCCAGCCTGTGGCATCCTTTTTGCTCCTCCATTTTTACCACTCGTTTTTCGTTGCTCGGTTTTTGTCCAAAGCAAAAAAAAAAAAAATCTGCCAGCATAGCTTTTGACGAAATGCAACGAGGTCGTTGTTGTTGAGTTAGGGTTTTTTTGTTAAGAGAAAGGGGGGGGAATCAGGTGGCATAATGTTTTGTGGCGGACTCCTGGCACAGGATAAAACCGGGCCAAGTTAACGATTTTCTTGCTTTTTTTATTGTGCGCTGTGCGAATGAAATTTATGTAGAGGGTCCGGCTCCTGTTTCGACACAGAAAAGCCAAAGGACTCGGTACTCGGTGCTCGACACTCGGCACTCTGCCTCTGATTTTGAGTTGTGCAATAAATTTTTATCTTTACATGCGACCGGCGAAGAGTGGTGACTTGTTACCAGGACCTGGACCTGAAGGTGAAGCCTGCGGATTGAAGGGTTTCCAACGCCCGTTGGCCATTAAACAACGCTGTCAGGTCTCAATGGCCACTGCCTGAAAACCAAAAAACCAGAAAACCTGAAGCGGCCATTACACAATAGAACTTACCTTTGTTTCAGTGTTGACAGATCTTTTTTTGTATTGAGAAAGAGGTTGACTGAAAACCAAGTTTGTCGATTTAAGGGAGTACAAACACTTTGAAAGACTGTTTCTGGCTCTTTTTATATTCTCAAATCGTATTTAATTTTTGTAGCTAAAATATATTATTTTGTAAAATATATATTTTTTTAATATATTAATTAATATTTAGGTTTTTAATTAATGATTTCAACTAAAGATGTGGTATTACAATATATTAACAAACAACAATTTACTTTTGGAAACCATAACCATTTTATTTATATATCTAATAGTGCTAAACCCAATGTATAACATTTTTGTTTCTCTTTTCTTATCAATAATTTTTGATAATTTAAATATTTTTTGTAAATAATGTGGTACACTTTTTGTAAAAGTTTCTGTACTCCCCTATTATTTTAATCATTCACATAATTTATCTAATTGATATACGCCCATCACTGTTTTAATTGTTTATTGTATCTGGACGAGCACAAAGTGCCCCATTTAAAATGTCAACATCTCGTAGACGTAAACCACTATCTGGGCACAGTTAATAAGGCACTTAATTGCGGACTAACAAGTATTTCCACTTCATTGAAGGCTCGAAGGGAAGCGCAACAATTGATGGAACAAAAGCCGAAACGACAGCACTACTCAAACTGTTGTACGAGGTCCTGTGCTCCTGTGCTCCTGTCTCCCTGGCTTTATTGTTATTGGCCAAGCTGCGTTGCGGGCCATGTTTTAGCGCTGAGTGCTGAATGACATTTGGGTCACCTGGGGCTATCCGACCTGCATATATACTATATATACAGTGTACACCCGTTTAACTTATTCCATTCCCATTCCCATTCCCATGCCCATTCGCCCATTCGAAGCTGAGGTTCGTCCTTTGACCATCGGCGAGGACATTCACACGCGGCCATCTCCTTATTTTATTTATTTTAGCTTTTTTTGGTTTTGTGTCCCTTTGCCATCGGTTTCATCGGTGCATGTTGGATAGGATTTAATGGGGGCGATACAGTGCGTCCCCGGGTTGTAAGGCGATTGATGGCTTAATGCCCCATGTTGTTGAGTGTGTAACATGGGATTACCGTGATTTGTTGTGCTAAGCAATCGAATTTGATTGGCCATTGAACAGGAGAAAATTAAATTATCAATTTAAGTAGGCGAGCTTATGGTGGTCGTTGAATATTAAGGGATAAAGGACTGTTATTGATTTGTGTTTCTATACGGCAGAAATGGTATATCTGATTGGTTAGAAGATTATGTACATTAGCTTTGAAATTTGGGCAATATATAACAGTATTAGTTGCAAATTAAAATCATAATGCCTCATTCACAAGAAGCTTATGTATTAATTGAATTGACTAGCTTTCAAACTGCATGCCATAGCTCTAGTTAATAATGGATATCAACAATAAACTATCTCTTAGGCTGATGAAAATCACTGTACAAATTACAAAATATATCGACTGGCAGTCCAAATGAATTATACAGCTGAGCCGCACTGTACGTGCCCCTGTACGATAAAGCAATCATTTTAATGGTGCGATTAAAATTTCATCAGTTCTACTCATCGAACGAAATCGAATTAAAGCGTGGCGCATCGAAAGACGAGATGTTTATCAATAATTCCAGATTCATCTATGAATGAAATTTTCTGCTGAGTCAGCCTTCTTGTTGGGGGCTTTCTCAATTTTTTGTTGTGTTTAGACCAAAATGACTGACAAATCAATCAATAGGCCAATGGACGTTATTTATAGAATTTCCCATCAAGGGTGGCTCATAAACAATTGAATTCATTTGCGCGCCCCAAAATGCGATTGCATTTGCCGTCGAGAGAAAAAGAATTTTAACCCAATTTGAAGCAAGAAACCACGTCCCATTCTCTCCGTCCGTCCCTTTTGTATCTCCGACCGTATCTTTAGCCAGTGGCGTTCTATGGGAGGGCAAGACCTACAAAATACACATAATAATAACGCTAAATGGCTAGTTTTTGCTAACAATTTATTTAGTCATAAATTAGTGACTATGTTCTCACAAACATGGATGTATTCTTGTAGCAATGGAAATATCTTCTTTATTTTTTTTTTTGGATATATTGATGTTTCTGGTGCATCCCTAACAATGATAAAAGCAACATTTTTTAGTGGTAATTTATAAAGGTAAAAGATTTATACTAAGGTACTTGCTTAGAAAATGAATCAACATACATATACCTAAAAAATAACAGATAATTAAACTTAATGTGATTTTTTTTAACTGCCCCTATTTTTAAGACCCCTTCCCCCCTCGATGAACTCCAGCGTACGCCCCTGTCTTGATCCGTATCTATATCTGTGGCATTCTGCCTGGCACGGACTCCTCTGATACGGTCTATGGTCTACGGGCCATGGGGCCCCCAACTATTATTAGCGGCACGCTCGACATGCAAACGTATAATGGATTCATATATATTTGGTGTACGATATGTTCTTGCACATGTGGGCCATACAATGTCGGGGATATATATGGATGTACATGGCAATGCCAGCCAGTCATCCAGCAAAACTCAGTGCTCTGCAGGTGTTCAAATTTTCACATTTTTCGTCCAGCACTCCGAAATGTCCTTTTGTCCTTCACACTGTGAGAAAATCCCAAGTGGAATTAGTTTGGGGAACTTCCTATTAATTAAGTAATATACGCAAAAACCTGAAGATTTCAAGTGTTTAGAACAGCAAAAAAAATTTAAAAACTTCAACTTTATTTTAAAAAAATCTTTGAATTCTTAAATCATTTAAATAAAAGCCATATTATTAAATTTTAAATGATATATTATACTTTAATTAAAATTTGATAAACTAATATTTTTAATTAAATTGGTTAATGAAAGTAAAATCAAATTCACACTACTTAGAAATCAAAATATTTAAAATAAAATTATTTTGTTGTTAAGTATTATGTGTTATATGTTTTTTTTTCATGCATTTCTGCTTTAAACCAACAAACCTCTGCATAACTGTGCCTGCATAATTTAAAATTCTCGTTTGTTTTTATAGCTGAATTATTGATTTTCATTTGTTACATTCTTGAGAGTTGTTTGAAATTTTTTTCAAGGTTTTTTTCTTTGCTCTTCCCTTTCTATTTTCACATAGGTGACTTGCGGTCAACGAGCTTTCCCACATTTCCCGCATTTCCCGCTTTTCCGTGGCACATGTGTGTGCGCTGGCTTTGAAGCTTTTGTGGCTTATCAGTTCTTTGTCACCAACGTCCAACTTCTGGCAAATAGTTTTACCGGAAAGCTCGGCCATAGCTTTCGAACCCGTCATTTATTTCATTTTCCATTTTCTTTATGGCATTTTAAGCCGTTCCTTTGTCTTTTTTTCTTGCACTCACTTCACATGCCCTGATTCTTTCGATTTCTTTTCGACTCAATGACTTGTAATTTTTTTTAGCTTAGCTTTAAGTTGGTTATAAATGATTTGATTTTTCATTTCTCAGAAGAGTTTTCATTGGTCTCAAATGTTTTTAAATTTAACACGCATACGCAATGTTAGTAAAATTGCTAATACGCAATGTTTGCCTTGAAAAGGATTGGCAATTTTTAAATATTATTATTCAAACTAACTATGTCATGTGAATGTTGCTTGGCAAATACGAACGCGAACTACGAGCTAATAAAAAGTGATGGAAACTATTGAAAAGTCGCAAAAGCCATATTTAAATTTTAAAAGATATTTGTGTTTAAAGCCTGCAGCATTTGATCTTAGAATATTTATCCAGGTTGTGATGTTTTACGGGCTGTTTATAAAGACAGGTTATAGAATTTTGGTGGTTTTGATTAAAATGGCGACAGCTTTTAGCTAATTAGTAATTTATTTTAACAAAATATTTCCAAATTTTAACAAAGGTATGTCTTTGTAATCTTATGTAGTTTATGTATGCGAAACTTGCTTAAATTTTTTTATTGGTTTTTTTTCTTCATATTCTTGTGGGTTTTTTTGTGGGCTATCTCCCATTTTAACTTTTGCGGTCTTGATAAAAAAAAAAACTGTCTCTATAAAATGACATTGATTTTAGAAGAACTTTTTGGTTATTTGATGGACCAATTTCCAAATACCAAATTATTAGTAATTTCTTTTGAAGTATATGCTGCTTTGTTTTTCAAAGTAAGGATTGTATTTTAGTTATATGTTTTAAGCAACATAAATGGTCAATACCACTAGAATAGTAAATACATAAAGTTAAATATAAGTATAAATTACTATCATTAAATTTTAAGTTTGGTTTAAAGCAAACTTATTAAATATGATTTTTATTGACAATAATCCAAGTCTGATGTACTTATGGGTTATTGCTTTTGGAAGAGAATTAAATGAAAACGTGTTTTGTTTTTTCTGTCATTATAGATGTCAATTCAAAAGCTAAACGACACCACCAACTCGGGCTACGTGAGTTCCGAGGAGACGGACTCGCTGCTGGTTAGCAGTTCGAATCCCTCGAAGGGCGGCGGTCGGACGGCTCTGCTGCGCCAGGTGAAGAGTAGCTCCACAAATGGCCCAACGACGGGGGCGTCCACCACCTCGTCGGGATCGGGCTCCGGGGGCGGATCGGCGTCAGCGGGTTCGAACTCCGCGGCCGGAGCTGGGGCTTCCAAGCCGACGCTGATGCGGCAGGATCGCACTTCCACCTACTTGACCAGTCCGCAGCAGTCGCAGCATGCGAGGATGGGCTCCGAGGAGAGCATGCGAGGGGGCGGAACTGGCCACGAGGAGGATGTGGAGCAGGGCCTGGTCCGCAGCAGCATAGTGCCTGACATTGAAGTACACGAAGAGGACCAAGATAGCCACAGTCAGGGAACAAGTAGTAACCAACAACAACAGCAACAGCTACAGCAACAGCTACAGCAACAGCAACAACAACCGACCATATCAATTATGAATTTAAGCCTAAAGCCCGGCGATAGCCATAGCCACAGCTCCAGTCCGGGTGTTAGCCATCCCAATTTGGGCACCTCTTCATATCAGAACCTGGCCTCGAGCATACCGCCCAGCGTGCCCAGTCGCTGCCGGGCGTGCCGTAATTGCAGCCGACGTGCTTCCACCACGCCCACCACGCTGATCGATCGCTCCGCCTCCCGCGACAGCGTGAAAAGTGCCTTCCAGCAGGGCAATCTTAGCGGCTCCATGGCCATTTGCATATCGAATTCGGCCCTGTCGCAACAGCAACAGCAGCAGCAGCAGCAGCAATACCATCACTTGCAACAGCAGCAACACTATCAATTGCAACAACAACACCTGGCACAGCAGCAACATCTGCAGCAGCAGCAGCAACAGCAACAGCAAGTGCCGCCCGTTCTAATCACCTCATCGCCCACAAATGGATCACGGATAATACGGCAAAGTTCGCAGCCGGAATCGAGCAGTACGGCGATTTGCTGCGGACCGCATTCCGCCTGCGTCGGCCATGCCCACTCCCATTCGCATACGGTTCCCAATGTCTCGCTGAAGCAATTGCGCGAAAGTTCCGGCGATGGAATCGCTGGGATTGCAGCCGACTCCCTGCGGATCAATGGGGGAATGCGGCCTTTTAAGCAGGTGAGAATCAGTTGGTAGACCCAATGGAAAATACAAAATTAAAGCCCCTCTACCCAGGTCACCCAACCTCCCCCCTTTTCATATAAACATTTTTTTTTCATTGAGGGGGGAGGCAAACTTAGCCACCCACACTTGGAAAAAATCAGAAAATCACTTCTCTTTGACAACAGACGCTAAAAAAAAATGTATACGATTTAAGGCAGTAAAGATAGACTATCAATATGTATATAAACAATTTTAAATTTTGTAAAAACAAATATGAAATGCTACAGAAAATGTTGTATTTTAGAGAGACAAGCTCTAAAACACTTTGAAAGAGTGACCATGCTAACAAGTAATTAAAATTCTAAATTTAAACAACTTAAAAGAAAAAATAGTTATCAATTCATTAAATTTTTAAATTTGTTTAGTGAATTTCAGTATAAAAAGAAGGTGCTTTTCTGATTTCAAATAGAATTTTTTTTCCAAGTGCTTACAATGCCATGACCCCCCTGTACATAATTCATGTACATAAGCCATCTGCAATCGCCCAGCTCATAAATGTCCAAGTGGACGCCACCCAGGAGTACCCTTAGCGCTCGGTGTGTACACAGACCTCTATGTATCATATATAGTATATCAACTCAGCATATCCCTTCTCAATACATAAGTATATACCCGTAATTGGATGTTATGTAGCCACTATCGCACTCGATGTTCCGTGTTCAAATAAGCAATTCCCAGATCTTTCGTTACTCTAAATATATAATTCCGTTAAAGGATATTCAAGTTGGAAAAGTTAAGCGAACGAGTAAACTTAAAGTGACCAGCCCTAAAATGAGTGCTAATAGAGTGACCAAAATGGTTAAAATATTAAAAAAAAAAAAACAATAAAATAAAAGATTATGGTCAAAGGGGTTTATTATTAATTGTGTATTTAAGACATTTCGGTTAGAAAGACGTTTTCGTTCTTTTGTCATTCTTATATATTATCTAAAAATATCGCCATCATTTTGATGTCTCACTTATAGAAACTATCAAAAGTATCCAATGTTATTTCCTAGTTATTAAACTCTCTCATATAAAATACTCACTGCCAAATTCAATGCCAATAACTCATCTTCATAAACACACGAAAATCCCACCAAAATGTTTTTTTATGTTCAGTTCGGATTTCTTTATTTATGCCATAGATGTTTTCTAATAATCATAAAACGCTGGCAAATTGCGATTTGCTTACTTTGTTGCTGTTTTTCTTTCGGTTTGTTTTCGTTGAATTTATTTCTTTTCCACCAATCTCCGTTGTCTTCTACATTTGGCCATTTAACGTTTTTCGCGCGCTAAAATCCAATTAGTGAAAATCAATATTGCTCATACGCGGCGTTGGTTGAACAATTATTTTCTTCGTTTGCCCGCTTGGCCACCTTCAATCGCATTTGGTTGCCTCTAAACATTTGCTTTTTTTTCTCAGTCTTGCTTTCGCATTACTTTCGGTGGGCATAATTAAAAATTTTGTTTACACGCTATTTGATAGGAGGGAACGAAAATGGAAAATGAAAATGGGGGTCTTAGTAGGTGGGCCTAAGAGCATTTACCATTTACCATTTAGCATTTAGCATTTAGCATTTAGCATTTAGCATTTTACCATTTTACCATTTAATGATGAGAATCCAACAAACGCAATTAAGACATTTCTTTCCTGCAGTCTGAAAATTGATTATTCATGTGGCAATTGAATTGTTAAGTGCTATGAAAAATACAATTCCTAGTCGTTCCATCTATATCTTTCATCTCTCCTTTATAATTAATATCAATTTATGCCCAACGTGTCTGAACTTTTGCCGTTCATAAATATCTCGGAAAAAAAAGGAGAAATGAAAAAGAAGTATATAAATATAGATGGGAAAAAAATGATATAGCTTCTTCCTTCATGCCGGCAGTGACCTTACCATGATTGATGAATGTTTTCACTCTTTGACATTTGCCGTCGCGTTTTTCTATTTTCCCCTCCGAGGACTTTCGCATTCCTTGATATTTTATTTGTTTTTTTTTTTTTTTTTTCGTTTTTTTCCAGTTTTTATAGATAATTGCGTTGGGTTCGCTGTCAGACACTTTCGGCAATAGTCAGGGGGATAAGAAGTCGTCCAAACGGAGAATGGAATGGGTGACGGTAAAACATTTATGGCAGCTTCGGGGCACAACGAAAGCTTTTCGTTTTCAAAAAACTAGCGGTTAAGACAGCAAAGTAATGGTTAATGAGTAGGGTGGCGATAAACTAAATCCCCCACATTTAACGACTTCCCATGCAAATGGGCCAAAAGCTTTCAAGCCACATTTAACACGAATGTAGAAGACAACTAACAATTTGTATATGCAATTCCCCTGCGGTTGTCTTTTTTTCACATAACCCCCTCGCTTTTAAAAGAGCTTTTGCGGAGCTTTTCCTGCATGGGGTCTAGTGGCGAAAGCTTTAACATATTTAAAGTTTTCAATTGTCTTCGGTTTTCTGCTTTCCACATTCGTTGACCTATGTTGTTTGTATTGTTTAAAAGCTCGCTATTTAATTATGCAACATGCAATGAACTTTCCCCTTCCCGGCAGTCCCTTAGGATCACATGGGTCGAAAAAGCCCGGCATATCATATCATATCATATCGTACCATATTTGACAATTTCAAGCAATAATATATATAACACTCAATTCGCATATTAAACTTTTAGATGCAGGGTATCCCAACAATATTTATCCTATATACCCATTATTTTATAACTATCTTTAATATAAATATATATCTTTGTAATCGAATATCCTCTAGTAAGTAATAATACTATCTAGCGCTTAAGTTCCTGTCTATAGTATCTATGTAGTTTTGACTGTATTCTAAAATATCCTCATTCTTGTATACATTAATATGTGCAGTGCGTTTTGCAAGTGCGAGGAGGGTACAAAAATATCCTTAAATTGAAAAACAATAAATACTTTAATTGAATGCAGCTGCCTGGTAAATTTTAAAATAATTCAAAATCAATCGAATTACACAGTAATGGCACATATTATATTTTATTAAATAGCTAACTATGCAAATTACAATTTTTATAATTACTATGACTCTTACTTAAATGATTAAACTTAAAGGCAAAAACAAGTTCAAAGTACATAAAATCAGAAAAAAGCTTTTAGACATTTGTAAAATAAAAAGTTTACTAAACGGAAAACAGGTGATTCCTGTCACTTTCGCAACGCACTGTACTCGTAAGAGTGATTTTTACGTATTTTAACCGCTACTATCCAGCCAGATCCAGATCCTAAGATTAAGCCCTCGCCCAGAAAACCAGAAAAAAAAAACCATTGGAATTCCCGACCCGAAAGTAGCTTAGCAACTAACTAAACTAACTCTACAAATCTGTACTAATCGCTGTCGCATCAACTTTCGCAATCTCTTCAGGGCGTTCTTCTAATGCCTCGCACCTTGTCCGAAAGCCGAAAGTTGCGCCTTCGAAGAGCCTTCACTGAGGCCACTAACGAAACGCTCCAATGCTCCAAAATGGTATTTAACAAGTAAAACAATGCAAAAACCATAAAACAAAACCCATTTGCCGAAATTAACTAATTTATTTATTGTGTACATAAATATTTAGAATGAACCAAATTAGTTCCAAAGTTCCAAAAAAAAAAAAAAACTAAAAAACCAAATAAAAAACCAAAGTTCATTTCCAATGGCACTGCAATGACCTTCCCGCCTCCCAGCGGTCAAGTAGCTTGTTATCGATAACATAATGCATTATGCTGCGACATGATTAAAGCCCCTGTGCAATCGGCTTGCGTTTGGCTATCGTTTCTTCCTAGTCTGCACTGCGTCAATGTCCATATTCAATTCCCCCTAGAAATCTCACTTAAATCAAAAAATAACATTAAACAAAACTCAAAATTATCCGTTTTGAACCCGTTTTGAGCATTTTGGCCGCTTTGTAGCTCAAGTTTGAACTTCTGTACCCCATAATCTCGCATTCACTTCCAAAACCGCTTCAGCATGCCGTTTGCTTTTGCATCCGTTTATGAATTTAGATCCGTAGATAATGTATTACCCATAATTGGTTTAAGTATAATAACTAACGATGACTTTTCGCCACAGGTAAGATGTAGTTGATTTCGATTTCTTTGGCACTGACTGTCGTTACTTGTGATGAAAACAAAGAGCACCGTTTAGTTTTTGTTGTACTGAGACAATCTTTTGGGGGATTCCTATATCTATGTTCTATGGTTATACCTAAGAAAAAATATTTTTAAAATTTTACTATTAATTCTGAAATATGTGGTAAAAGTAATATTAACTACACTCGTAGACTTTATGGGAAAAAAGGACAAATGTTTTAACCAATATTTTAAATTTAGAAATATAAATATTACTTGTTTCCTTTATTAAATCAAAAAACGACTCTACATATAAAGAGAATAATGATCACAAAACACATTTGGGATTTTTATCCTAATTGCTCTAAATGAGAATAATAAAGTTGTATAGGGTACTCGTAAAGTTTAGCATTTGTCGTTTTGTTGTGTTTGAGGGGCAGCAATTAAGTGCCGAGCGGAAGCATTTAATATTATTTCCCTCACTAAAAGCTGCAACATTTTCATTTCCATGACGTCGACGCGATCAGGTGTTTCCCCCCTCACATTTTCCCTTTTTCCACCAAGAGGATGTTTCTCTCATCGCTCTCTAAAATAGTTGCTCTCATTTGGCCAATCCACCTGCTGCTTTTTGTCCACTGGATTCCACTTCCAATTGCGATCCGTTCCACAAGATCCAACTAAAGAAGTTGTTCTCTATAATCGGTACTATCCCTAAAAGAGTATATTGTGTGTCTTAAGATTAAAAATAGGGGTTCACACTTTGGATTCGGATTGTAGGCTTCAAAATACACCAGATTTTTGGCTTTCACATCTCTGTTCAATTTTTTACGGTTTTATAATATTTAAAAAAATTATTTAATTCTATGCCTAGAAAAAGGGTTTCTTGAGAGTTATTAGTTATAATCTAAAAGTAGTTCAACTTACACTAAACTAATTAATTAATTGAATTGTCAATACAGAGTGGCTCGAAGTCCGTACTAAAGTGTACGTATGTTCTCCCATGTTTCGCTAGATTGGCGGAACCAAATAGAAAAGAACGAAAAAAGAGGCAGGAGCACACCAAATGGGAATATAAATAAAACTTTTGGTGGGCTGGCCATTTGTGCGGCGTCGTCGAAAGGGATCGCTCTCGATCTAGATCTAGATGTAGATCTCGATCTCGATCTCGATCCCGATCCCGATCGTCGGACCTCGCTCTTTGTCGCTCGTTTTCCAGATCGCTTGCAGATCGGATCGGTCAATAATGGACGTGAACGGCTTGTGGAAATGCTGAATTGTGTCTGCTTCCCCATTGTGTTTACATTCTGGACAATTACGCAGTCGAAAGTCGAAATACTGCTGGCCAGAAATAATTCCCAAATCAAATTAAATTCAAATCAAAACTCATCGGTTATTCGTCCGTTGCGGTTCGTCGATTATTTTGTGAAGAAAATCCTTGTTTTTTTTTTTCTGTGTGCGTGTGTGTTGACAATGAGCATTTTCTTTCCGAAAATGAAATTTGTAACATATAATTAATTCCAGGAAGAAAACATATAAATCATTGTTTAAACAATGCGGTTTTAAACTGTAACCGGCCAGATCTGAGAATTGCCAATTAAAATAAACAATTTACTTGTTTTGCTTGAAAATCTTTTAACAATAATTAACACAACATGTTTGTATGTACTTGTAATTTTCCAAAAAGCAAACAGATTCGCGAACAATTAAGAAAACAAAAACAGTGAGAATATAAAGAAAACATTCCACTGTTGGAATATTTTCGGGTCTTCATAAAGGTTCCATTTCTGGAATATAATCGATGCAAAGAAACAAAACAAGTGAGATTGTGAAAAACATGATATTGAAACTCTATTCACACGTTTAGTATTTTCGGTGTTTTATAAAAAGATGTTTCCAAAACATGATAAGTAAATAAAAAAAAGGCAACCATTTTTGGATCCCACAAAAAGGTTATAGGTCATTTTGGAAACCTAAAACATATTTTTGGATCTTCGGGGATCTTATTTAAAAACCGCTTGGAGGAGCAGAGCATGTCGCCGGCCTCCTGCATGGATAACGATTGTAATCAGGGCGCTCTCTACCAGAAATGCCAGGCCACGCCTCCTCTGCCACCGCCCACGTCGGTGGTGGTGTCAACGTCATCAACCCCATCCCCCCCGGCGTCCGCCTCTCCCTCCCCCTCGCCCACCCCTTCGCGGTCGCCGTCGCTGACGGTGCTGATGACGTCGACACAGATACCGCCGCAGATGCGACAAATGTCGCAACCGGTGAACGCGGCCGCCGCTCTAATGACGCGAACGGGCAGCGTCGGTGGCGCCACGAGTGCCGCCCGCAGGAACTCCCTTTGGCTGGAAACGCTGCGCAACACACGCAAGCTGTCCTACGCCAACGAGCGGCCCATTCTGGTAAGACTGCACTCAAACAAATTGGGAGGGCTTTATCTGAATCTGAATAACTATAGAAAATAGCTGCCAAAATAACAATCGCCTTAGGTCAAAGTATTATAAAATTAATTTAAAGTTGGGAAAGCCCTAACCAATATCTTCAAATTGTGTTTTAATCCAAAACTAAATTCAAGGCAATATAATGTGTAGAGCCAGTGAAAATTTATAACCAGCGAAAAAAGCTTAACATTCATCTTAGGTCAAAGTTGAATTAAATTTATTAATAGTGAGGTAAATCATTAAACCACTAAAATATATAACCATCGAAAACGGTTAAATTATACTGAAAACTATAAGAAACATATAATAATTAAAATTTATATAAATAAAGCAAACGTGATGTTTGGGGTGGTCAAATAATATTAAAACAATACACTTTTGTATATCAAACTCTAAACTAAATTAATTGTATCCTCTGTAAAACTTTAAGTCTTGTATAAATGGGCTTAAAGTATGCTGCATAAAACTTCTTAATGGATTACATGTCGTATACGTTTTATTGCATTGTCATTATAATCGGACCGCAAAATGCGTATACGACATGTTGGCCTGAAGGAATAATTTGTTTGTCAGATATTTTTCACTGGTGAATCTTAAACTATGGACTATAGTTTGATTTTTAACGTAGGCTTTTTCCTCAGTGCTGCCACGAAACCATGACGTATCTATGTAGCTTATCTGCTGGCCATTTGTATGTTATTTCCATTCGCCATTTCGTCGGCGGCTTCCACGTGTCCGTTTCGCCTCAGAGTCCAAACTATAAAAATAAATAAACCGCTCGCGTTCCCTGTCGCCGTCTCTTTTCCTCCGTTCGCTCCGTCTCTTTCGGTTGTCTCTGCGCGATTCGAAGTTATTTTCAACCAAAGCATCTGCAGCACAGAGCAAAAACAAATCGCAGACACACGATGGAACTCTTGGGGAAAATGTTTCGAGCAACGAAACTTTTGTACCCTGCAAAAAGTCACGAGGGTTTTGCCAAATTTTCACAAAAATGGCAAATGCTAGTGGTTTCATAAAAGAAAAAAAAAAAGGAAACAATTTTAGCCACTGGGAATTTGTTTAGATTTTGAAACCAACTGCATTTCTAAAGTGCAAACTTAAGGCAATGTTTTCAAGAAACTAAAACTTTAAGATGTCTTTAACTCTTAAGTTTAACATTCAAAGTTTGTTACGCACACAGGCGTTTGTATAGTTACGTAATAGCTATACATATCTAAGAAATAATAGCCGGAAGCTGATAAAATATTTTTGGTCATTAAAATATTTTTGTAATGTCAAAGAAATAACAAAAGTGAAACAATGTATACATGAGTGCTATATAAAAGTTATAATTATTAGAAGTAGATTTAATCGAAATTTTAACAAACTGTATTTAGAGAACTAAGCTGGATATATTTTGCAAATATAAGATAAATGCTAATGACCAATTGAAAACATCCTTATGGCCAAGATATTATGGCTGGATATTAATTTGCGGAGTGGGGTCTATGAAAGCAATAACACAAAACAAATGTGGAAAAACGGCTCATCAACAGAGGCGGCAAGCAAGGGGGCGGTTCTGAAAAAGAAGAGAGGAGAGGGGGAGTCATCTATTTAGCTATTCCATCATCAGCATTCGAAACACAAGAAAAACGCCCATAAAGACATTAAGTTCGCTCAAGTGTTCGGATCGTATCGCCCGATCCCTGCGTCTGTATCTATCGCTTTGATATATTGTTTACAACGCTTGCAGTTTCGGTTTCGATTTGGACTTAGATAACGATCGCATCATCATCATCATCATCGTCCCCATCATTATAATGCGGGAATAGCAATAAAGAGAACTCAGGGTCACAATTTTGCGGGTTAAAGATAGTCCATAAACTAGGCTACTGCTTCATATTCTTCTTCACATATTGATATATGTTCCTGCCGATTGAGCAGGCAATTCCGGCGCAGTTTAAACAATGCCAATCGCCACGTAATTAATGGC